AATAATTTTTAATAAATTTTAGTATATAAAGCTTTGAATTTTGCCTTATATGAGAAAATAATTTGTAAATTTTACTAATTGCGGTATTGATCCAGATATGGCCATCACTTTTGTCTTTTCGGCATTTGACATGATTATTGATGTGTTGAATAACTTTAGTAGAAATAAATAATAAAATATAATATTTGCATTTAATTATCAAAGTCTACAAAACATTCTGAAGAAGTGAGGATCCACCATAAGCAATACCCACAGATAGTCAATGGGAGCCCAAAGGTATGCAGGCTAAAGCCACATATTGTGATAGGACTTTAAGATCCAGCAAAAGATGGCGAGGAAGTCCTCCAATCAGTCATCTATTTGCTATAGGTTTGTAACACTGATTTTGCAAACATTTTGTGTATCTTCATGAACTCAGTGTCAGTGCTTCTTATGTGATACACAAGAAAACCCAATGAGGAACATGTATATTAAGCAATCAAATGTTGTTGGATAGAGTTGTTGGAGAGTCACAAACTATTATAATATCTCAGATTTATTTATACTGCAAGAACTAATTTTTGCACTCTTAGGAGAAGTATCATGCCAATACACATATGCGACTTAGAAAATATTATCAATTTAATTATTTTTGGCATTTTTTGTTGAAGTTCAAATTCCCTAAAGGTTTTCAATCCAAGTCAATTCTTATCAAATAAAAGGAGATCATCTTTGTTCTAAATTCATAAGTTTATAAATGCTAAATATTATCATGTAAAGAATTAACTTTCAGAAGGTTCCTGAACTGTGGCTCTACCTTTTTATTTTGCATAAGATGTTGCCTTGGCCCTATAGATGCTGAGTCTTTAAGTGGAATGAGGTCTGCTTTAGCAAATCAGCTGTTTAGTAACTGGAGTTTTTACTGGTTTCTCATTTTTTCTTCCACTGGAAAGTGTTCAGGAATGAAGTTATTTTGCTTCATCATGGCCATATTTGCTGGGATTATAATAGACAATGACTAAAATTTCCATTATGTGCTTACAGAGAGTCAATAATGCCTATTTAGTTTATTGATAAAACCCCTGGGTTTCTAGTTTCTTTAAGTTGCATGTAGACCTGGGGATTCAAATTGCAAGAGCAGCATAATATCCTTTGCCTAGAACCATATTAACTATTTATGACTTCATCTCTAATCTGCTCTCTACTTTGTCATAATAGAAAATAACTAGTTTGGTCTCAAATAGAGTCACAAATCTAAATTTATACTCTCCAATTCACACAGTTTGTAGTAACAATTTACTATTCCCCAAAGTAGGGAATAATAGCCTCTGTCCCCCAAATAATCCTGCAGCTTTCCTTCCCTGAATCAAATTCCCAGAATGTGTGTGGGAACTGTAAATACTATGACATCATTTTTCTATCATTCATAAACTTCAACTTCAAATCACTTGATAATCTTTATATGACACTAATAGAAAATCAGCTTGTTTATATAAGGGTACAGATTGTGAAATGAATCAATTTTTAAAAAGTAACCAAACAAATTTTATTATTCATTATTTTAAATGATTACATTAAATTATTTATATCATTGAATAATTAAAACTTTCTACATTGTGAAATGTGCACAGGGATTTCTATAATAGATGAGACTTCATTTCAGAAATGTATATTTTGTGAATTATTTTAGTACTTTATCCAGTCAACAAATTTCTAGTGGATTTTGGGCTCATCCTTTTTATCAGACCCTGAGAATACAGGGCAATTTTGCCCAAGTTATTATTCTTACTCTTTGAAACTATGGAAGAGAGTATTTTTTTGTTGTTCGCTTGAGATTGTATTGAGAAATTTTGCATATTCGTTTTTTAGATTGTATTTTACTGTGAAAATTTATTTTGCTATACTTTGATTTCTTTCATTTTTATCTTCAGGTTAGTGTCAGTGAAAGAATATAAATATGATTTTTTAAATGGGCTATATAATGGTTCTATGTGGGATTCACAACAACAAATATATTTCTCACTTCACTTTTCCTAGAAGGTTAAAGCGGTCTGATTTTTCATCTTAATTTATGGGACAAAAAGAAACCAAATGTATATCTAAGTGTGATAAACATGTAAGAATGACCAGAAGGGAACTTAGAAAATATCTTGAGACAGATGAAAATGAAAACACAACATGCAAAAACGTATGTGATGCAGTGAAAATAGAGCTAAGGGGGAAATTTAAAGTTGCAAAAGCTTGTATTAAAAAAGAAGAAAGACCTCAAACCAATGAACTAGCTTTACAAGTTAAGGAACTAGAAAAAGACAAACTAAACACATACCTAGGATGAGGAAAAAAATAAGAAAGACTAAAAAAGAAATTAAATAAATACAGAATAGAAAAGCAAATAAAAATCAATGGAACTAAGCACCGGTCTTTTGAAAGAATCAACAAAATTGACAGATACTTAACTATATTAAGAAATAAGTAGAGAAAAATTAAAAGTCAGAAATAACAGAGGACAACTGATGGCACAGAAGTAAAAAGGATTATAACAGGCTACTATGAACAATCATACTCCAACAAATTGATTAACCTAGAAGAAATGTATAAATTCCTAGAAACAACTTACCGGGACCATATCATGAATAAAGAAAAAATCTGACTAGACCTATAACCAGTAAGGAGATTTAATTAGTTATCAAACTTCCCATTTAAAAAAAAAAAAACCCATAATCTGATGGCTTCAGTGGTAACTCTATTAAACTAGGGAATTAACACCAATCTTTCTCAAAATTTTCCAAAGAATTGAAGAGGAAAAAATAGTTCCAAGTTCATTTTATGAAACTAGCATTTCCCTGATATCAAAGTCAGACAAGGAGACTAAAAGAAAAGAAAACTGCAGATCCATATCCCTGATAGATATGGATACAAAAATCCTCACTAAAATACTTGTAAAACACCTTCAACAACACAATTAAAGAATTATACATCATGATCAAGTGGGATTTATTCCTCAGATGGAAGAATGCTTCAACATATGAAAATTAATCAATGCAATACACGACATTAACAAAATGAATGGAAAATATACATAATAATCTCTATAGATACAGAAAAAGAAATGGACAAGATTCTGTATCCTTTCATGATAAAAACATTAAAAAGTCTTGGAATAAAAGGAAGTTACTTCAACATAATTATGGCCATATATGAAAAGGTCACAGTTAACATTATATTTAATGGTGAGAAACTGAAAGTTTT